AATGAATAAAAAACAAAATGGATTAGGAAACAAGAGTAGTGTTCTTATTATTATTCAAATAATTCTTGATCTCTTGTTTTTTTCTTTCTTTCTATTTAGTGGAATTAACTCACATACAAACTTTTTACAAACACTGCATTTAACACCTAGCACAAATGTAATACTACATCAAGAAATCAAGGCAGTGTCCGGGTTTTTTACCAGCCATATATACATGGATCACATCCAAAACTACGTATATTTCGATTATCCTCATGTAAGATTAAGCGATATGAGTGAAAATCTAAAAAAGGAATCGCTATCCGTCATACAGATGTATGAAATATTTGCCACTGGACGTTTCAATGCGCATAATAATGATTATAATTTGATTGCCGTATTTCATTTTGCTTTTCATGTTTATGTGTTTGCTATTTTGTATATAAGTACTAGTTTGCCAATTCTTCGGTACAAATAACTCACTGCTCATTTATAATATGCAAACGAATGTGAATTTTGACAGCTAGAGTATTGATATGACGTAAATCTACGTGAAAGCGAGGTGAATTTAAATAAATGAAGGTGAAATCTTTTTTTGAGAACTAGAATGAAATGATTTAGTATTTTTTTTATAACTTCTATTTTCAATGGAGTAAAATTCAACAAACACAACGGTAGTTAATGCAAACATTTATTATAATTTACAAATTGTACAACCACGCCTTCATAAATCATATTTGAAGTACAATTTAGATTATATTAACGATTCAAGTACCGTTCAAATATCAAACCTTTACCAAAAAGTTTTACATTATTTCTGTATCAGATAAAAATTGTCAAGGATAGGATAAAAATAAAGAGTGAGCTTCCGAAATAGCGGACACCATTAAAATGAATAAGTTGAAACAACTCCCTTGTAGAATATCCGTAAGGGTTGTAATTCTGTATAACTACGGATCACGGTCCTTTGGAAGGATGGATACCCCTGTTCCACTGTCAACCAAACATGAAAAAGATTTTCAAAAAGATAGTCATATCCTATTCTTATTCTTAAAACAAAAACAAACCAAAAATTTTTTTTTCAGAAAGGTATTTATATTCTGTTTAATATATTGTCAACTGAGAATCTTCGAAAGTGCATTTTATTCTTATCTGTAACAAACCAAGAGTAGAAAAGGTATAGAGAGTAGCTAGTCCAAAAAGAAAAGGTTTCGACGAAGCATGTCCTACTCTATAACAAAGATAATAATAGCTCTTTGATATTCTGTTTGAATGTCAAGCAAGGTTCTGACGGAAGATAGTCATACTGCACTCTAATCTAGAATCAAGATAAAAATACTGCTTTTGATAATAATTTCCGGTTTCAGCGGGAAAACAACTTTAGTCCAACAAATAGTTAGAGCTGTTAAATTACAGACAGAAACAAGTGACAAAAAATAGCTAACTAAAGTCTAAAAGGAAAAATACACAGCCTTACAATGAATAGGAAATTAACAGTGGTAAATTTTCTACTCCAAAGTTTTGGCAAAATGAAGGCCTCTTTATAGTTTATCACATAAATCAAAAATCGATTTTAAGTTTGCTTTGTAGAAAGACACAGTAAGTTCTTTCAAAGAATAAATAACTATCTATATCTAATTTTGTATTAACATTTTTGGACTTTATCTGTTATTTAATCTGGCCTGCGTTCGGTATTTAAGCTACCCCATGATGGTTATAATCGTAGTTCAGATAAAATGTAAACAATAATGTCTATTATCCAACTTATTTTGATCCAATTATTGGCAAATAAAGTAACAAAGGACAAAGTTTTCATTTATAATCTACTGTTAAATCCACTCAAATATTTTTACAAGCATTTAAGCGACACATATTTTTGAATGTTGGAAATTATTATGCATATGTATATTGCTATCGTCCTTTTGCAGTATAGGACTACAGTTAACTCATGTTTCTTATTGTTTATATTTTATGGGATTAAATAAAAACAATATTATTCAAACAACGGGTAGAAACTTTTACAGTATTTTCTTAAAATATTGTATTACATTTATTTGAGCATATAATATGAAAATAATAAATCTATTAAAATAGCAGTTTTTAGCAAAGTTTACGCATTTATATAATTCGGTAATATATCGGAAACACATCAATATGTTGTTGGAACCTTCTGAAGTTCACGTACACACATAAATCTGTGATACTGTGAATCAAAGTATAAACAAGGAGGTTGTATATGGTATAAAGATGAAGAACTTTTAGAAAATAGCACTAGCGTGAAACACGCTTGAGGGAAAATTGGTCCTTTCTCTTTGACACCGAAACTGGAGGTGTCGCACCACCAATTCAACCACTCACATTTAGAACACATGTAAAAGTAGCCCTACCATGACAAAATACAGTGTTTTTGATGATGATGGTTACTCAAACTAGCAAATTATGCAAATGAATTCACTGGAATGAAACTTTTTTCCGAGTGAGAAATATATTTTGACCATTTGAGCCCAAATTTACTTGTGCATGAACTTGCATCACACTTTTGGGTTAGATGCGTTAAATAGTATGCTAATTAAATTTTTCAGAAAACCAGAGTGTTATTTGTAGTAGTGCGGGACTTCCAGAACAGAATATGTCACTGCAAGACTTTAAACTTGGTTGAAAATTGATAAATGTATAATTCAGAATATATATGGTTTTCATGAAGTTTAGCTTAAGGTGAAAAATAGCAATGAAAATTAAAAATAAACGTTGGATATATTGGGATTTTGAATTGGTGGTGTGACACCTAGTGCATCACTAGGGGTTTCCAAAATGACGAAACACGTCAAAGAATTCAGATGGCCTAAGCCCTAATAAATTCTCCAATTTTCCTACGACACTGTGAACCTGAATTAAAAGCCGGAAGAAGGGATTACTTTTTGAAGTGAAATTACTGAAGTTTAATGTCAAAATCTAATTCATTTACAGCTTTGAAATGATGAACATAATGAGCTTTTGGATTAATAGGATTGTTATTTCGTTTTATGAGTTGAAATACTGAAAAAGGCTGTTATAACATATTATAGAAATACATACGATACATAAACTATAAGAACAACAAATACTTATGACAAAAGTTGTAGTAAGTATTATTAATCATTTTTAAAATCTTTAACAAAACATATAGCAGATAAATGCATGATAATAATTCCTCATTTGACGCAAAAAGACAACAAGCATTATTTTTAAAAGGATTATTATCGTATATAATAGCTTTATACAACTGTACAAAGTCGTGTAGATGCACAATATGCACTGAACTCAGGAATTATATGATTAATTTTTGTCAGGTAAAGATCAAAAGCTTACAGGTGAGAATTACGTGCTGACTAGAGTTAAGTTGATGGTTATTTGATAGTACCACTTTAATGAAAAAGTCAGCGATTTTGAGATATATGATAGTAGAAAATTCAATTTAAACTTGTTTAGTATGGGTATTATTGGCAATAACGCTTTGAAGGACTACTTGTTTGTGGATTTACACTAACATGTTATAGAATAGTAATGTACAGATGCGTATTATTTAACAGCTCTGACATTACACGCATTTTAAAATGTATTGAAGAAAAAGACTAAAATTCAAATCTACTTTCAGTTTCAATTGCAATATTTTGATAAGATATTGCTTTCTGTATTTCTTAATTAAAATATATCTTCAACATCATTACACCCTGTGTCTGTTTTATATATGAGGGTCTGAATGGGGTTTACAGAATAGAAAATAATAGGCAAACAGTGCAGATTAACGGGGATAAAAAAGAAGAGAAAAATGGACACAAAAAATATAAAGAATCGAGAACAATGGGGTGCTAAAATATAAAGAATAGAGAATAATGATAAAAAATAAAAAAATTAGATAAAAATGGGCTAAAAAATTAAGGAATACAAAAATGAAGTACCCCCCTCCCCCGACCTTCATATGTGTATGCTGTGCCCCTTGAAGTCATGTCATATAGATTTTCTGAAATTTTTGTTCAATTTTTTTGAAATGCTGTTTTGAAGACGTAAAAATTAGATATAGACCGTGAATTTCATCGACTGATCATTTGTCTATACGAGACATATTTTTGCAAGAAGGTCACAAGTTGAGTTCAAAACATGCAAACCTAAGTCTCAAATGAAGAAAAGAAAGAAACACACACCTGAAAGACTGAGATATGTACAAATTTATTAAATGGCTGAGAATTAACCTTATGACATATTCTGATAAAGTATGCTATAGAAAAACGATAACCAAAGACCACAAAGCACATAAACAACTGTCGTATTTATACTTTGAAGCCATTAAGACCCTTAAATAGAAAGAAATGTACAAATAATCTAAAGATATTGAAGATTTGCCACTATTTAAGTGTATTGTCCAGGATCAATTTGTTTCTAGAAAACATAGCAAGACCACACTTGTTTGTTCCACATAGCTACATAAAGATATATTAAAAGTCTTCTCCGTTAATACCAAAATTTTGTCTGCCGTACAAAGAACGGAAATAAAACCAGTCCCAATAGTTATATTTTTAATTGAAACTTTTTTTTTCTTAAAGTAACATTCGCATAATGAAAACAGAAGTAGATATAACTTACACAAAAGGGATAGAGTCCTCCGTCTGAATACACAAAAAGACTGTGTTATTTTGACACTCACACAAAAACAAATCACTTCTCCTGTTTCCGGAACATTAATTTTTTGTTTGAATTTCATGTTTATTTAACGGAAAACTATTTATAAAACATTTACCTGGATATCTAATCATATTTTGACTTTTTAAATTGATTCATTTTTTTTAATTATCTATAAGCATGTGTATTCGTTTTCTCATGCATTTATATACAGAATTAAGCAAATATTTATTTCAAACACAATCTTGAGGAAATACATTCATGTTCCCAATTAATATAATACCCAGATTTGTAATGTAACGGGTGTGTCTTAAATATTTCATGAAAAAATGTTCAAATATAAGTTGAAACTTGAAAGGACTTACCTTTAGTCTTATTCATAAATCCCTTGGTCTTTAAAACCTACGTTAATAGGTGTAGATTATTCCGTCTCTAATTCTTTTAATTTTGTATATGAATTTCACATCAATTATGACTTGTGATAATTGGATATAGAAAGCTGTTCGAACAAAAATCGGTGCGCCAGTTCAAGTGTGATATGAATGTTGTATATCGCTTTCCCTCGCAACGGAGATATCAATACTTTGACAGTAATATCGTATGTTGTTTACTCTTAGTGATTCAGTCGTGTGAAGCGAACAGTCAAAATACTCTCACTTACGGCTGCTATTTAACGTTTTCTATAGATTTTTTCTACAATGGAATAAATGCAAACGTTTAGAAGTCTTTTGAACGGGCATGTCACGGGGTGTGCAGTTTTTTACCTGGCTAAAATACGATTTGATTAAAATTATTTGTTTACTTTCACGATGATTGATCGACACAAATTAAACACCAGATAAACAAAGAGCTATTTGCACTTGTTTAGTTGATACTTGATAAAATGAACCTATTAAAATGTTCAAATAGGCTTAACTAAAACAGTAAATATAAACAAGAAAATAGAAGTGACTTTACCAGACTGAGAATTTTGGAATGTTATGTATGCTGATGAGTTAAAACTATCACCAATATACTCGGACAAAAGATAAATAGCAACAGTAAACTTTATAAGACCAATGTTAACAGACACAAATTGACAAACAAAACATGTTATAGGCTATCCATTGAAAGAAAACATAATGCAATGTCTAATGGTACAAGCATTAGAAATTGATTGACGGCTGTAAAACGTCCAGCAGCAAATATGTCGACATATTCAGGACAATGACATATTACTTGACAAGTTTTTTCCAAATAAAAAAAGATAACAAGGTGTAATGCAAAGTTATTTTTTCATGATGTTTTTAGAGTTTGGAAAATTGTCATGCTAAAAACAAAGTTATTTCTTAAAAAGTTGATTTGTTTTTTCTCAAATCCATAGCGTAGTTTGTAATTTGAATTTATAAACTAAATAAGGGACCATGTTCAGTCGAATTCAAATGTATGGGAATAATTGTATAAGAAGGGGCAAATGTGCCTAAATGGGTACGATGAAAGTAACAACAAAATGTTGATAATAACAATGGTCAATTAATGCTTTATGTACAACGGTGCATATTCAGGATGATAACTTGGTAATATATGAATTGTCCCTATTTTGTGCTGGCCGACACTCTGAGTCGCAAAATAAACGTACTAATGCACAATGTAACAGTCCAAATGAAAACATGTCACCATACTCAGGCACAGTATCCTAATTGTGAGCCTACCATACCTAAGCTTTGCTACTAAACACCATGTGCATTGCAGAGAAGCAGAACATACCGATTTTTATTTTTATTTGATAGGAGACGAAAACCAACACAGTTTTAACGATTACCATCAGGAATGTATATTGGTGTGCCTGTTCCCTTTTAAGACAATACATAGTATCTGGAGTATTTTAACCTTTTTCAAATTAATCAAGTTACTAAAAAGAGGAAGCCTGGTTTTACCCAAACACAAGTTTATGACCAGCGACGACAGAAAGCGTATTCTGACTTTACATAGTATATGACCAAATTCATGAAAAACCGGTATGAGAGTTTGAAATGCATACACAGTTTTTTTTCTGGACAAATGATAGACAAGATCGTTACAGATGACACAACACAGGCATTTAAAAATAAAATAGCACAACTAGAATAATGAATAAAGAACAACATTAATCCCTATGAAGGAACGAGAGTCGAACGCAAGGTCTCCAGAAGGGTAAACTGTTCTTGCTCCACTTTGGCAACCATCGTGTGGCTTATGGCGAAAAAATTCGATGCTATGTCACATCTGGTGATGTCACAGTCACTAAGGCCAGTTGTAATGGTAAAAATATTCCACTGTTTGTTAATATTGATGGCTAAATGAATCTTTGATTATTAAGACTTTTAAACCTAAGATAAGCCATATTTCCTGGGGGCATCGACGAAGAAAGCACTTCGACCTCCTGTTATCCATACATATCCAATCATGCAAATTTCAAACTCAATATTATATATGTAAGTAGTAAAGACACGATCAAGAACACGACTATGAAATTTATATTTAACTAACACAAGTAAAATTGACAATTTTACGTAAATGTCAGAATAAATAAATCTCTATTATTTTCGGACACAGAGACACAATCACGTTGATTTTGACTTTCAGGAACTTTCGAAATAATAATAATAATGTTAAGGAAGACCTCAAGCGGAAAAAGGTTCTCAAGTCTCCAGACAAAAGGAAAGGAACGGAGGGGAGCTATATAATCATCGTTTGCAGGAAAACTGATACTTTGTTGATATATCAGTCAACCAAATTTAACACGATTGCTAGAATATACACTCGAAATCGTGGGCATGTGAATTGAATTGTTAACTCTTTCCCTTCAAAATTCACAAACCACTAAAATACATTATGTTGGTTATTAGTCACATTTTTACAGATTATGCGCTTACATAGGGACAGACAAACAAATTCGAGACAGATGACTGGAGAGACATTTGAAAATAATTTTCTTTTCTAAACTATTTCCTAGATGATTCAAACTAAGAGATAAAAATTGGGGATAATAAACTACACTGTACAAGCTAGTTTCATGAAATATAGACATATTGGTAAATTTATTCTAGAGTTCTATACTAAATACCTAACGGGAGGAATTGTGCTTGATTTTCGTATGACGAAGACATGATCTATCAATCAGTTAAACTGAAGTCTGAAGCTGGCATGTCTGTAACTGCTAGTAGTCCTTTGTTAATTTATATTCATCATCGTCATTTTGTTTTGTTTAGTTTCTTCTGTTACCTATTCTAACATCGGCCTCGGACTTCTTTTAAAATGAGTTTTACTATGCGTATTGCTGTGTGTTTGTTAATTCCACATTGGCTAGAGGTATGGGGGAGGGTTGAAATCTCACAAAACACGTTAAACCCGCCGCATTTTTGCGCCTGTTCTAAGTCAGGAACCTCTAGCATTTGTTAGTCTTGTGTGTGTTTTTAAATTTTGGTTCATTTATATGTTTCGGAGTTTAGTGTGGCGTCTATTTCGCTGAACTAGTATACATTATTGTTTAGGGACCAGCTGAAGCCCGCCTCTGGGTGCAGGATTTTCTCGCTGGGTTGAAGACCCATTGGTGGTCTTGTGCTGTTTTCTGCTCTTTTGTCGGGTTGTTTTCTCTTTTGACACATTACCCGTTTCCATTCTCACTTCTATGATTATTTTCTTCTGCGGCTTATTTTCATTTTTAATTGCAGAAAACAAATGGTCGTCCCCTAACCGATGTTATCGATCAAAAAGTTCAACATTTTCATCCTGTCTATCCGGATGTTTTTGGTATTGGAATTATAAGGGTTACCTAACAATTATACCATCTATATTTCTGTTTATCATATACATGTACTTAACATTAATACGATAGATTTTGCAAACATGTAACGAGCAGAAGTAAACAAGCCATCAATTCACACCAGGCTGATAACCCATATCAGCCCTTTGTGGCATCACGTGGTCGAGCTGATTGGGGTTATCAGCCTGGTGCGTTCGTACATCGGTAGCATATGATAAAAAGATTATTACATGTCCTTTATCATATCGGCCCGGATATCATCCCTCGGCCTATATCAGCACTCGACTAACGTCTCGGGTTGATAATTGGGGGGGGGGGGGGGGGGGTTCGGGATGATACCCGGGCCGATATGGAAAAGGCTATGTATTAAATAAATATTCTTAATGTTGATATATCAATCCACCAAATTGTCGATCAAACAGTTAAACATTTTTCATAATGTCTGTTTGGGCGTATTTATCAATTAGAATCACTATGGTTACATAATAATACAAACTATTTTTCTTTTTAATAAGTAATTATAAGATAGAACCTTTTTTCAGCAAACAATTCCAATTTGACAGTAAATTTCGAGATTGCTAAAATTTGATAATATCAGATTTACATGACAGTTTTCACATGAGATATATTATCAGGCCAAATTTCGAAGGCACGAGGACTGAATTTACATCTGATATGAAAAATGTCATGAAATTACTTTTTTATTGTAAAAAAATGATTGTATAAAAATGTTTTACTCAAGGAAATCAACCTCAACTGGCTATGGAATTTATACTGCAAGTAAACAAGTTTCCTTATATTTGTCTTTCATCCTACGGTGTTATTATAAGCATTTAATTATCACATACTTAGAGTAAATAAATTATATGTTTTACAGTATGATAATAGCATTAAATTTGGGTAAATTTCATATTTTCGTAATGGTGTTAGCGGCTTGATATAGGAAAAGTATAATTTAAATATCACGGAAATGTCAAGATAATTTTTCGACAATTTTTAGCGCCTACATTTAAGTGTGATTCGGATATTTTTCTGCAAAATTTTTAAAATTTTCAAAATTTTTATTCCAAACATTAACAAATCATTTTTATGTTAACTGGTTTGTGAGTTTGAACTACGCACATGAGAGGTTATTTCCAACCTTAATTGACTATAATTGTCAGTTTTGCTGTCCTAGGTCGGCGGTTGTCTCTGGCACCCTCCACCAATAAAAACTGACGACTACGATATACCCAATACTGGCGTTAAACACCAACAATCATTTGATAAATATCCATGGTTTCTGCAAAAATTAGCATACATCAAATGTCAAGGACAATTACTCCTATTAAGGGTTTCTTGACGATTTTTGTCTAATTATTTTACTTTTTTCCTTTTTTTTTTTTACTTTTGCAGAGTCTATCTGTTATGGTTTTTGCAAAAAAAAAATGCATAAAATGTGTAAAAACCATCTTTCAACGGTAAACACTTCTGTTAGGGGTAAAATTACAATTTCGGCTATATTGAGTTATTTGTAGATCCTATTTTGCTGAACAGTTTTGCTATTAAGTACTTACAGTTTCTCTTAATCAATTATGGTTTCTGAATAAATGTGAACTAAAATTTAGTTAAAGGACAATAACTCCTTTTTGGGATCAGTTGATACTTTCGGTAAGGTTGAATTATATGTAGATCTTATTTTGCTGAACATTTTTGCTTCTTACAGGTTCCCTATGTAATCGTATCTGCAAAAAGTGTAAAAATCATCTCCATAGGCAATAACTCCTATTAAGGGTCAATTGATGAGTTCGTCCATGTTTTTACTAATTTGTAAATCTTATTTTACTGGTTCTCGCTATGTATCATAGTATTCAATATATTAAATTAAAATTTCTAAATTTGCAAACAACTGACATTTAAGGAGCAATAACTCCAAACAAGATTGTGCTATTTTCCTGAAAATTACATAGGAAATAGATCTGAACTGCTGATCATTTTTACCTTCAG